GGTGACGCACAACAGTGGTGGATGGTGACAATGACTGCCAAAGATAGTGGACTAAAGGCCAACAACAACTAGGGCTGTTGATACCAACTTGAAAAACCATGGGATGTATATTCTCACCTAGTAGTGTGTATATATGGCCAAGTACAAGTACACCTCAAAGAAGATGGTTACCTTACAGCCTATATTTTTTAACCTAAAGCAATAAAACAGCTTAATGTAAGGTGTGCAATACTATAACAATAATATTTTTAACAGAAATATGAGAAAGTGCAACCACAGCTAATATCTTAGCAAATCTCAGCCAACCAATCAGATGAAGATTGTACCCTAAACCACTTTATGAAAAAAGCATTTATTATCACAATTAGTGTAAAAGAAATACATCCCTAATTTGAAAATAATACATTTTTGACATAAGAATCACATCAAGTAGTGGCTGTATTGTAATGTATTGTGTGTCAAATGAGTATCCATGATAGATATTGCATGAGCACTTTGAATACTTTCAATTGCATCTTCCTAATTTTTATACTTTTATTTTTTTAGACTTCTATACCAATACTGATTATATTACCACAATGATTTGATACCATTTGTTTTATGTTTATAATAACTCCTAGTCATTTTTAAAACATGAATTCTATTGTGAATTAAATTTTTTATTTTAACTCTTCTAGTTTTATATATTATATCCATTTTTAAAATTTGCCATATTCTGGGTTCGTGTTTTGTTATACTATCTATATCACGATGTATTTGTGTTTCTTAAGGTGTCATAGTAACAAAAAAAGTCTTGTTCGGTCGAATTGGTTTTTTTTTTGTGTTCTTGATCTTCCAATCAATTAAACTCTTTATATAGCACAATATATCCATTTTTTAAATTTGTCTTATTTTTGTGCCTGTGTTATTTCATATCATATCTACAGATTTGATGATGTGTATTGTATTTGTGCTTCTTGAGTTGGCATACGTAGTAATGGAAAATAAGGGTGTGGGGTTTGGTCATGAAAGGGGTTTGTGTACGTATTATTAATCCTTAAATCAACTTAAGTGAAATATGCCCTCTTTATTTGCTACTCCAAAGAACATGTATTTGAGAATCCACCTTTTTAATGAACTGATCAGTATCGGTTCCACGATCAAATTGAGTAGAAGTAGATAGTTTAATGGGCAGCTCATCTAGTCCTGGAGTATAGTCTAATCCTTGATTAGACTGTCAAAGGGGTCATCTTCTCTATCAAACATGTTAGTACAGATAGGATTAGTTGACTCAGTCGTCTCCAAATGCATTCAATTGAAACTTCACTAAATTAACATTTAGAATGTATGTAGAAAGCACAAAATTATGAAAATAACATTAAAATGTGGGTTTGCTATATATGATGTAAAAATAGAACAATTATATGAAGACAAATTGATGTGAGTTATATTTTGAATGAGTGCAAGGTGTTTGTGTTAATGTTGCTTAAGAAGGCTCCTAGAAGATTCTTACTGACATTAAGATAACGAAATTATCTAGATGTGAAAGTGCACTTCACATGAGCTCAAAGGAGAAAAGTGATGGATTCAATTAAGAGAACAAAAAGAACACAAGATGGTAAAACAACATTAAAGGGGCAGAAGCAATAATGTACATAAGAACATAAGAACTTGAAATAAAGAAGCAAAGATGGAAAAAGAGAGGGAATGGAAGAGGATAGGGAGGGTGCCATGCCAGTTGGTGGATGGTCCAACCCAAGATGGATGGTGGTTGCCACCCTTGAACCAAAATTTGAGATGAGACTAGGGATAAGCTCACTCTAGAAAAGAGAGGCACTCACAAATGCACACAAAGGTGTCTTAAATTCAACATGAATCAACCCTTTACAAGTGGTGGAGAGACTTTCTTATATGGGCATGGGTAGGTACCTCTTAGCAAAATTACAACGTATCCTTTTAGAAGGTTACCTAGACACCTTATGACCGGCCCTTGCTCTCCAAGCAACAAAACCACAAGGTCTTGACCTTCTAGTTGGTCAACCGAGGCATCCACTCCCTCCATGTGCTGCCCAAGTGCTTGGCCCTAAGTCTTCCTCTCCTCCAAACATAAGGGTGCCTTCTTCAAACAAAGGGATGGAAAAAGCACTCCAAGCCTTGGACTATGCGCCCCATTACTCTACCCTTCAAAGGGTGTTTTTGTCCAACCAAGGAGGTGCTTAAAGCAAACCTACAAAACACAAAACACAACCATAAGTCTAGATTTATTTAAGACAACTAAACAAACTAACAGGAGAAAGGTGAGGAGACCTCCCTTCTAATCATGCTTATTTTCCCTAAAGTACTTTCTTCCATCTTTGGTGTGGTTAGGGGCTTATCACAAATTGATTCTCTAGATCATTCATAGGGTTATTCTTGATCAACTATCATATGATTATCATTCATTTAGTTTCCAAATAGATACAAATTAACCAAAAGAAGTGTCAATTAATTCATTGAGTTTCTGTTAGGAAGTTAAAAGTATGAGAGGAGGAATAAAAGTGAGAAGAGAGTATAGATTAGGTTATTTTCATAAAGTAACCTAACAGTTTCTCACCTGTTCCATGTGTAGACTTTTTGAGGATTTATTCTTATACCTTTTGAATTAAGCAAACAAGAGGCTATTAGATTTAAGAAAACAAGAGGCTATTAGATTTAAGCAAACTAATAAGAATTCTAATAAGAGAATATAATTGAATATGAACAAGCGATCAAAATTCAAAAAGAATAAATAGATTAGACTCTATTTTACAAAAGTTGAAGAACAATACTTTAATTGCACATACCTTCAAAATCCCACTATGAATACACAAGACAGTCGACCTAGAAAGGTTTAACCTTCCATGATGAAGACATTCAAAATCATTACCAAATAAGATAGAATTTGATGTGATGAGTGATTGAGTGGTGACTCCTCATTGAATACTGTTAAGAAGTGAACTTTAAAACTAACTCAATTCCACAAAACCGGTTTATAAGATGAGATTTGTACCCACTTATATATTCTAAATTGACCTTATCTCTAATCAATGTAGGACTTACAACACTCTTCCTTATGTAGAGGTATATACATCTCTAACGTGAGACTAGACATTAATGGGTAGTCTGTTAGTGGGTGGAACATTAAACCCAACAAACATTAAATTTCGCTAGGATAGACTCTAATCCATGACTTTGATAACATGTTAAAAAGTAGACTTTAAGCCTAACTCAACCCCACAAAATTGACTTGTAAAGTGAGGTTTGCACCCACTTACATATCTAAATTGGTCTTATCTCTAGCTGATGTAGGACTTCCAACAAACGATGATGGACATCTATTTACAGCAGTCTTTCATGAACTGAATCTGTTTCTCCGAGACAATCTTTTGGCTTTGATTCTTTCTATCCAAAGTAAACTATTCTGTTGCAGAGGATTTAGAAAGGTAGACAATAGATAAGATATTTTTGTGCAGAAAATCCAACACAAAAAATACTCCAGGGTAACAAATTCTGTTGCATAAGGTCCAATGTGCTTGATGGACCTCCAAAGCATCAGGTGAGTATTAGTTGAGTCTAGACGAGCTAGTAGTACATACATTAGATGAGTCTCGTGATATACACATTGGTTGAGTCTAGTGCATTTGACTTGCCATGAATTAACTCATCTTTTGAACCTTTAAAACATTTTATTTCTAGCTTCTCATAATCATATGAAAATCACCAAATCAATCTACTAACATCATCCATAGGTCCATTAGACCATATATCACTATATCATCTATATATGACTTTTGAGTTTGCTTACACTTTAGTTGCACAAAACATAAGGTAGAATGTTGAAGAAGCGTTTATGCAGTACACCATATTATCAAAACTCAGCTCGTGGATGGTCCATCATATTGTCGTATGCGTAGTGATTATCCATTACTTGCCTCATGAAAAAATCCATCCCATTTATCCATGAAAAAAATACTTGTGGATTTTTTTCATTCCCGCGAGTATTTATATATATATATATATACATATATATATATATATATGTATGTATATATATTTGAAATTTTAGATAAAATTATTTAATGATAATTCTTTAAAATATAAACTTAGATAAAAAGAAATTTAATTTAAGTACAATTTAAATCAAATTACTCAATAAAATGCTAATGCAAATAAATTTGGTCTTTTTAAAAGGCAAATTTAAATAAGTTGTGCCAAAATATAAATTTTAAAAAATTAATATTTTACAAAAATAACTTCAATCTCATAGGTCTAAATAAAAAAAATAGAAATATATGAAGTCAAAATTTAAATGATTCTTTCATGATTAATATTTTTTTCACTAATAGTTTTATTTTGATCACTTGGATTTTAAAAAAGTACTCAAATAAAATTCATTAATAACTATTAGTGGGTCGTGGAAATCTACAGGTTGGATTCCATGACACCCTTCCTGGCTTATCTAAAAACAAGTAATTAAATATCCATACCCATTACCTGCAGGTAACCATTAAGGATATGAATTTCGTATCCCTCACATATACCATTAAGGATATCAATTTAGTATCCCTCACATATTTTACCTGTGGGTATGAATTATTTTGTCATTTGTAGGTATATTAAAGGTCGTCTACCTAGAACATCTAGCATTTACCATGGCTTTAAAAACAGATTTTAATCAATGGTTTTTGTTATACCTCAATTAATCCTAATTGGACAAATTCTAGTTAAACTATTGGATTTACACTCAATTATAATTCAAGAAATCTAAAATTAAGTGTTTTTAATGTGATTGAAAGTGTACTCATCCTGAACATCCATTAGTGGGTCTGGGCTTGGTAGTAATCCATTAATACTTGATTGAGTTACTAACCTTTATTTTCTAATTTTTTTTATGTCATTCATCTTATCAATTAGTATTTTCTAATTTGACCTTTCATTCTTTTATATTTTCGTTTGGTTTGAATCTTTTTTGATGTTGGTGTGTTGGATTGTATTGTTAATAGGTTGAAGTATGGGAGGAAAGGAAGGTTTTTGGTTCACGACTTCAAGGTCTTAAGGATGAAATAATAATAATGGGTAAGGTTCCCCCTCCATCTACAAGCAATGGAAAGATTTCAAATTCTATCAAGATAGCGAAGAGGGATGGCCACGTGAGAATAGTAAGCAAGTTGCAATAGCACGTCTGAGTTTGATCTGTTGCCTTTTTTGATGCTGTGATATTTCTGATTTTGAGATGGTCAATGCTATCTTCAATGCAGAAACTGGCTGTTGGGTGTTTGCCAGAGAAAATACTTTCTGCCTTTCAGCCTGTTCTTGATGAACATCTTAATGAGGAAGCTACTTTAAAAAACTGCAATGCTGCTGTTCATGGTGTGGGTAAAGTTGTGGAAGATGTTGAAAATACATTGTCTCAAGGTAAGAATATTTCTAGAGGGACTCAATCTGTTCTGCCTGCTACTCTAGCTTGACTGATGGAAACATTTCTGTTAAATGGATGAAATTTTTCTAAATTACTTGCATCTATGAAATGATGATGAATCTTTTTATTTATATTTTGGAGGAATGGTTTTGGAGGAATAATTATTATAACTGAAATACCAATTTTAAAATGTAAAAATATTATGTAGAAAATTTGAATTCTTAGGTTGTACTTGGTTGTGACTGGAGGGCAATTGTTCCTCAACATGTGGCTGATGTGCTGACAAAAATAACTGACTACGACTTCCATAATGTCATAACTAAGCTGGGAATGCAGGACATTTATTCCTCAGCTTGAGAGGCAGTGTTGAAATATGGGTGTAAATATTGCATATTTAATGCACATTAAATATAGATTGATTGGATAATAAATATAGATTTGTTTGTAAGAGCTACCTAAAATTAAGGATTGTGATTAGGAGTTTATTTGGTGGATTTGCTTCAGATTTAGAGTCTTTATGTCTGGAGTTTTATTTCCTTCTATTAGGATTTCATTTTTCCTTTAAATATCAATGTATTGTTTCCTTTTTAGATCAAGAAAAGTAATTCCATAATTATTGCTTACTGCCTACACATTTTTTCAAAATTATTGCCATACAAAGGACTTTGTGCTGGTATATTGCACTTACCTGATTTTTAGAGCATGTGAAGGCTTGTGGCCAATTCTACTTAACGATTCTTCTATATTTCAAGCAGAGCAGTATAGCTTTTATATGGTTTCTATTGCTATAGCTTACCAATACTTTATTAAAATTAGTTAGGCTGACTATTGGTTGGATATCACATCAGGAAACCAGCTAGGATCCACTTTGGTGAACGACTTGCTCAATGACTTACAAGAGCAGGAAAAAAAGCTTAAGCAGTACATGGAGAAACTAGAAAAGGCTGAGGCGGCAAGGGATTCATTGCTTTCTCAGCTTAAACACGCACTTCAGGAACAAGTACAGTTGTTTCTACAAGTATGCTTATTTTAAAAGACTGAAATTGATGTTGTTTACTAATCTAAACTGCTTTTTCAGGAATCAAGGCAAGAGCTTGTTCACTCTCAGTTGCTTGTAAGAACAGCATGTCTTTAATCTGTGTATTTACTTTCTTGGTCTCTATCAGTATTACTCTTCCTAATTATAATATAATTTTAAATGTTTGTTGGCACTTAATGACGTTCATTTCAAGCATTCTTAAGATTTCTGTCTTCTTTGGCTTGTATGTTACACTGACTAAGAAAGGTGAACATATTTTTTCAATTTGGAACTGAAGTCATATGTAGATTTCGTCAATATGGTCAATTGGTCACTGACATAACACAACTAATTTATTACGAAGAGATGATGAAAAATATATAGGTTTACATATGTTTTTTGTCCTCATAAAATTTTCTTTACTTTCATTTCTCAAAAAGTTGAAATCTGGTTTTTGGTTCCTACTATTATGTAATAGTTTTATTATATGTTTGGATCATGATATGTTAACTTTTTTTAACAACTTTTTGACAATAGTCTGTGTCACTATTTTATTGGTCTGTATATTTGAAACAGACTAATCACAAGCTACCACATAACTGGTTGTAAAGAAGTTGTTAAAAAAACAATTTCCTATATGTTTATGTGTATGATGAAAGTAAGGTGATTATCCAACTTATGCGAGTTAGTGTTTTTGACATGATGTCAAAATGTAATACTTTAAGTTTTTTTATAGATCCCTAAAATAAAAATAAATTTTACGGATCAAAAGTAATTTCATATTTTGGGATGACAAAAATCAAAGAAAAATATACATAGACCAAAACAAAATTTTAGTCATTTTATAGGAAAATGAAAACAAATTTTCTAAATTCTATAAGGAAGATAAACATTTTTTTCTATGGAGCAAAACAAAATTTTAGTCATTTTATAGGAAAATGAAAACAAAATTTCTAAATTTTATAAGGAAGATAAACATTTGTTTCTATGGACCAACATAAAAAAATACTTTTTATAGACACTACTGTCAGTGGGTTGATTGAGCCTATGTATTTAAATTCTGTTAGGAAATCTGAGGAAGATAAATATCAGTGAGATATTTACTAATGGGACATGAGTTAACTTAGTGAGTCTAACTTGTAGGTTGTTCAACTTGCCTAGTTTTATAACATTTTGGACTTTTTGTCTAGTGGCACTTTTTAGGACCAGACTGTATAAGTGTGCACTTTTAGGGACTAAATTAACAAATTGCCACTGTAAGAGACCAAATTGTGTATTAACTGTAACAGAAAATGTTTGTCTGAAGGAATCTGAACTTTTGTTGTGAGCTTATTATTATTTGAACAAGTGACTCATGAAATTAGTTTTTGCTTGCCAGTAGGAAAAACAAAAAACACAATTGATAAGCTAATCTTCCTTTTTAAATATATTTTACCTACCACAATTGTTTGAGGTTCTATGTTCTGCTTGTTTAGAAACTTTTTCTGTTCAGTTATTGGGTTGGTTTGATTGTAGATAAATCAATCAAAATATAACTGCAGCTGGTTAACATCTGATAGGCGCAGTTTAAATTTTCTCTTTACATCCATGAGATATAACTTCTTAGTAACATTTTCCAAACTCGGGTGATATTTAAAAAATGCAATTTGACAGGAAATACTTCGAAGAAAAAATTGGCACATATAAAATAGACACGCATAATTAATTTAAGTAGAATCTAGATAGTATATATTAAANTATGTATGTATATATATTTGAAATTTTAGATAAAATTATTTAATGATAATTCTTTAAAATATAAACTTAGATAAAAAGAAATTTAATTTAAGTACAATTTAAATCAAATTACTCAATAAAATGCTAATGCAAATAAATTTGGTCTTTTTAAAAGGCAAATTTAAATAAGTTGTGCCAAAATATAAATTTTAAAAAATTAATATTTTACAAAAATAACTTCAATCTCATAGGTCTAAATAAAAAAAATAGAAATATATGAAGTCAAAATTTAAATGATTCTTTCATGATTAATATTTTTTTCACTAATAGTTTTATTTTGATCACTTGGATTTTAAAAAAGTACTCAAATAAAATTCATTAATAACTATTAGTGGGTCGTGGAAATCTACAGGTTGGATTCCATGACACCCTTCCTGGCTTATCTAAAAACAAGTAATTAAATATCCATACCCATTACCTGCAGGTAACCATTAAGGATATGAATTTCGTATCCCTCACATATACCATTAAGGATATCAATTTAGTATCCCTCACATATTTTACCTGTGGGTATGAATTATTTTGTCATTTGTAGGTATATTAAAGGTCGTCTACCTAGAACATCTAGCATTTACCATGGCTTTAAAAACAGATTTTAATCAATGGTTTTTGTTATACCTCAATTAATCCTAATTGGACAAATTCTAGTTAAACTATTGGATTTACACTCAATTATAATTCAAGAAATCTAAAATTAAGTGTTTTTAATGTGATTGAAAGTGTACTCATCCTGAACATCCATTAGTGGGTCTGGGCTTGGTAGTAATCCATTAATACTTGATTGAGTTACTAACCTTTATTTTCTAATTTTTTTTATGTCATTCATCTTATCAATTAGTATTTTCTAATTTGACCTTTCATTCTTTTATATTTTCGTTTGGTTTGAATCTTTTTTGATGTTGGTGTGTTGGATTGTATTGTTAATAGGTTGAAGTATGGGAGGAAAGGAAGGTTTTTGGTTCACGACTTCAAGGTCTTAAGGATGAAATAATAATAATGGGTAAGGTTCCCCCTCCATCTACAAGCAATGGAAAGATTTCAAATTCTATCAAGATAGCGAAGAGGGATGGCCACGTGAGAATAGTAAGCAAGTTGCAATAGCACGTCTGAGTTTGATCTGTTGCCTTTTTTGATGCTGTGATATTTCTGATTTTGAGATGGTCAATGCTATCTTCAATGCAGAAACTGGCTGTTGGGTGTTTGCCAGAGAAAATACTTTCTGCCTTTCAGCCTGTTCTTGATGAACATCTTAATGAGGAAGCTACTTTAAAAAACTGCAATGCTGCTGTTCATGGTGTGGGTAAAGTTGTGGAAGATGTTGAAAATACATTGTCTCAAGGTAAGAATATTTCTAGAGGGACTCAATCTGTTCTGCCTGCTACTCTAGCTTGACTGATGGAAACATTTCTGTTAAATGGATGAAATTTTTCTAAATTACTTGCATCTATGAAATGATGATGAATCTTTTTATTTATATTTTGGAGGAATGGTTTTGGAGGAATAATTATTATAACTGAAATACCAATTTTAAAATGTAAAAATATTATGTAGAAAATTTGAATTCTTAGGTTGTACTTGGTTGTGACTGGAGGGCAATTGTTCCTCAACATGTGGCTGATGTGCTGACAAAAATAACTGACTACTTCAGACTTCCATAATGTCATAACTAAGCTGGGAATGCAGGACATTTATTCCTCAGCTTGAGAGGCAGTGTTGAAATATGGGTGTAAATATTGCATATTTAATGCACATTAAATATAGATTGATTGGATAATAAATATAGATTTGTTTGTAAGAGCTACCTAAAATTAAGGATTGTGATTAGGAGTTTATTTGGTGGATTTGCTTCAGATTTAGAGTCTTTATGTCTGGAGTTTTATTTCCTTCTATTAGGATTTCATTTTTCCTTTAAATATCAATGTATTGTTTCCTTTTTAGATCAAGAAAAGTAATTCCATAATTATTGCTTACTGCCTACACATTTTTTCAAAATTATTGCCATACAAAGGACTTTGTGCTGGTATATTGCACTTACCTGATTTTTAGAGCATGTGAAGGCTTGTGGCCAATTCTACTTAACGATTCTTCTATATTTCAAGCAGAGCAGTATAGCTTTTATATGGTTTCTATTGCTATAGCTTACCAATACTTTATTAAAATTAGTTAGGCTGACTATTGGTTGGATATCACATCAGGAAACCAGCTAGGATCCACTTTGGTGAACGACTTGCTCAATGACTTACAAGAGCAGGAAAAAAAGCTTAAGCAGTACAAGGAGAAACTAGAAAAGGCTGAGGCGGCAAGGGATTCATTGCTTTCTCAGCTTAAACACGCACTTCAGGAACAAGTACAGTTGTTTCTACAAGTATGCTTATTTTAAAAGACTGAAATTGATGTTGTTTACTAATCTAAACTGCTTTTTCAGGAATCAAGGCAAGAGCTTGTTCACTCTCAGTTGCTTGTAAGAACAGCATGTCTTTAATCTGTGTATTTACTTTCTTGGTCTCTATCAGTATTACTCTTCCTAATTATAATATAATTTTAAATGTTTGTTGGCACTTAATGACGTTCATTTCAAGCATTCTTAAGATTTCTGTCTTCTTTGGCTTGTATGTTACACTGACTAAGAAAGGTGAACATATTTTTTCAATTTGGAACTGAAGTCATATGTAGATTTCGTCAATATGGTCAATTGGTCACTGACATAACACAACTAATTTATTACGAAGAGATGATGAAAAATATATAGGTTTACATATGTTTTTTGTCCTCATAAAATTTTCTTTACTTTCATTTCTCAAAAAGTTGAAATCTGGTTTTTGGTTCCTACTATTATGTAATAGTTTTATTATATGTTTGGATCATGATATGTTAACTTTTTTTAACAACTTTTTGAAAAAAGTCTGTGTCACTATTTTATTGGTCTGTATATTTGAAACAGACTAATCACAAGCTACCACATAACTGGTTGTAAAGAAGTTGTTAAAAAAACAATTTCCTATATGTTTATGTGTATGATGAAAGTAAGGTGATTATCCAACTTATGCGAGTTAGTGTTTTTGACATGATGTCAAAATGTAATACTTTAAGTTTTTTTATAGATCCCTAAAATAAAAATAAATTTTACGGATCAAAAGTAATTTCATATTTTTTTTTTATAGATCCCTAAAATAAAAATAAATTTTACGGATCAAAAGTAATTTCATATTTTTGGGATGACAAAAATCAAAGAAAAATATACATAGACCAAAACAAAATTTTAGTCATTTTATAGGAAAATGAAAACAAATTTTCTAAATTCTATAAGGAAGATAAACATTTTTTTCTATGGAGCAAAACAAAATTTTAGTCATTTTATAGGAAAATGAAAACAAAATTTCTAAATTTTATAAGGAAGATAAACATTTGTTTCTATGAACCAACATAAAAAAATACTTTTTATAGACACTACTGTCAGTGGGTTGATTGAGCCTATGTATTTAAATTCTGTTAGGAAATCTGAGGAAGATAAATATCAGTGAGATATTTACTAATGGGACATGAGTTAACTTAGTGAGTCTAACTTGTAGGTTGTTCAACTTGCCTAGTTTTATAACATTTTGGACTTTTTGTCTAGTGGCACTTTTTAGGACCAGACTGTATAAGTGTGCACTTTTAGGGACTAAATTAACAAATTGCCACTATAAGAGACCAAATTGTGTATTAACTGTAACAGAAAATGTTTGTCTGAAGGAATCTGAACTTTTGTTGTGAGCTTATTATTATTTGAACAAGTGACTCATGAAATTAGTTTTTGCTTGCCAGTAGGAAAAACAAAAAACACAATTGATAAGCTAATCTTCCTTTTTAAATATATTTTACCTACCACAATTGTTTGAGGTTCTATGTTCTGCTTGTTTAGAAACTTTTTCTGTTCAGTTATTGGGTTGGTTTGATTGTAGATAAATCAATCAAAATATAACTGCAGCTGGTTAACATCTGATAGGCGCAGTTTAAATTTTCTCTTTACATCCATGAGATATAACTTCTTAGTAACATTTTCCAAACTCGGGTGATATTTAAAAAATGCAATTTGACAGGAAATACTTCGAAGAAAAAATTGGCACATATAAAATAGACACGCATAATTAATTTAAGTAGAATCTAGATAGTATATATTAAAAGATGTTAAAGATTATTAAAAAAGATGTGTATAATATAACTAATTCATTAGATTTTGTGTCTAAAATGTGAAGAAACTTAGTATGTCATTCTCTAAGATAGAGTATAAGATCAATTACTTATCAAAAGGGTGTATTGGATGGTTAAATGTGTAAAAAATTTTACTATTTATAAACTGATTCGCGTGTATTTTATCCATATAAATTGATGGTTTTAATATTCTGAAGGTTGCACGAGGGCAGATCGAGAAAGCAGTTGGTATTAAGAAACGGCTTAACCAAGCAGCAGAAGCTGCAGATCCATCTCAGGCTGCATTAGCTCAATCAATACCATTTGCACCTTTCCAAACTACTGAAGATGATAACAAGAAAGCGAAGGAAGCAGCAGCTGCTGTTGCTGCTAAGCTTGCTGCCTCTGCATCCTCTGCCCAGATGCTTACATCTGTTTTTTGTTCTTTTGTAGCTGAAGAAGCTGCCTCCTTGAATGGCAGCTTAAATTCTACAGGATTTTCATCAGGATTGCCTATTTTCAACCCAGAGAAAAGACCCAAACTTGAAAAACCAACGCCTGTTCTTGATGTTAAAAGTTCTGATATGACCAGCTCTTCCTTTTATGCTGCCCCTATACAACAGCCATCACTGGCAAGTGTACCACTTGCACCGTCAGTTGGCATGCAAACTGGGTCTCAAGCCAATCAGTTACAAGCTGCATTTGCTTCAGCACCCCCTCCCCCGCCTCATTCTTCAGCAAATCAACCATCAAACCAATATGTCCAATCAACTGGTTTGATGGCTGGGGGAATTCCTTATGGATATGGACCAAATGGCCTACCACCTCCACCTCCTTTGCCTCCACATGTGGCAATGGGGTTGTCAATGCCTGGTAATCAATCGGCACAGCAGCAACAACAGTCTTCTCCCGGGGGATATTACAGGCCACCTGGCATAGGGTTTTATGGGCAAAGTCACCCCTCAACACCACCCCCGGTACCTAGGCAGTGAGCATGATTTGAAGATCATTGGCCAACATTGTTGCAAAACCTTGTAGCAAGATCATCCCTGGGAAATTGCTGTGTAATAATGTAAATTGTTAGAATTAGATGTGGCCAGAATTAATCTGTAGTCTCTTTTACCTACTGCCTTTTTCCGCCTACTGTCTAATGTCTGAGTAGTAGTAGGCTTTTGATAGCACTAGTTGAGATCTTACCTAAGCAGTTTTAACTGTTAAGAGAAAGAACCTCTTGGGGCCTTAAAGTATTTATCTGAAACTTCACGGAGGCCCTTGTTACGGTGCATGTGGACATCTTGTTTGTATGAAGCCTGCATATGGGGATAAACATTGACAGATGGTGTTATTCACCTCTAGATGATTTTCAGAGCTTCACCTTTCTAACGCCTTGGAGGTTGGAATGTGTTAATGTAGATTAATACCAATTGACAAATGTTGATATTGTTATTGTCTGCCAGTGTCTGGTTGATGTGTTAGGATATCTTTATTTATGCTTAGAGAAAATTTATTGACACTATCTAATATTCCCTTCCTGATTCCCTCACTCCTCTTAGCAGAAATTTACGTTAGACTAATAATGAGTAATTTTTACTTGGTGCACGCTAAACAAAGACCTTTATCATTTCTAATTCAAAATCTCAAAATCTATGTTAAGAAATTATTTACTTGAGATTTGCATTTGATTGTTTCAGAACTTTTCAATGTTAGTAGGATATCGTTTTCTCATACGTGTTTATTCAATTTTTTTCATCACAACATGATATATACTTGCTTTTAAGGCATATGAAAGGGCGCTGAAATAAAACCATTTTCTCAATTAGGAAAAAAAAAGATTAATGTATCCAAGAATAATTTTGAATCGTGAGCAGGTTGCTCAGCCTTATTTTAATTTTATAGGTCGTATACTACAGTAAAATTAAGCACTTTATACAGACATTCACTCCAATGTTAAAGTTGTTGAAGTGAATGATTAATCTTATGTTACAAGTCTTGCTATTAACTCTATTAATACCTATTTTGTTATTAGTTTATCTTATTCATAATATAATTTATCTTGAAAATGGTTACTTGTACAAGTAACACTAAGACATTTACACTAATGGTAAAACATGGTAAACAACATTGCTTAACTTTAATCAATCAAACCCTACAAACTTATTCATCTCTATTGCCTCATTAAAAATCATATTGAGACTTTATGCAAAAATATAAAAAGAGGTCACCTTAGACTATTAATTTCTTCTAAAAGGCATATATTGACCAAACAAACATAAAAACATATGAGATAAACTATTTATGTTTCCTCCTTTTTTGAATGAAACCCCATACATCATGAAATTTAGGAAACCCAACCTATTAAGTCAGAGAGACCTTTTCAAAGTCAATCTTGTAGGACACTACCTTTGTTCCACACTTTATGTCATTAACTTATATGGTGTTTTCTTTCACCAACTCCTCCACATTCTCTATCGTTATTCCTTCCATGATTAATCTGTCTTCTGGTAAATAACAATTCTTTATAACAGGAACATGTCCCAC